ATTCCTATAGGAGGATTTGGGGAATCTGGGGGTTGGTGGGAACAGGGAGCAAACCCAGAGCAGCTTTTCGGTGCTGGGAATTCCTGCCCTTCCCAGGGATCACACAGGAGGTGGGGAGGTTCCTGGGAAGCAGGGAGCCCCTGGAAGATGGGGGATCCCTGGGAAGTTGTGGGAGCCCTGGAAGAGGGAATCTCTGGAAGGTTGGGAATCCCTGGGAGGGTTGGAGATCCCTGGGAAGGTGGGGAGCCCTGGTTCACCATTTCCATGGTGATACTGTCATGGATTGACTCTGGCACAGTGCCAGTGCCCCCATGAAAGGTGTATTTCCCAACAAACAAAGGATGCTGGAAAACCTCGGGATGACCTCAGCATCCCCCAGCATTCCCAGGCCATGTCTGGCACCTGCTCCAGGTCCTTCCCTGCTGAGGAACACCAGGAATCCTGGTCCCAGAGGGCCCTCCAGGGATGCACATCTGGGCTCCCTGCCAGATGTGGCTCCTGGGGCTGCCCCGGGGCTGCTGCTCCCCCTGGGCCCCTCCTGGGGTTTGGGGGCACCTGGGGGTGGGAAGAGCCCTTGGAGACACTTCCAGCCCAAGGAATTCCTTGGGATGACATTCCCATTTTACAGAGAGGAGACTGAGGCCCAGGACAGTGCAAACCTTTCCCAGCTCTGTTCCCTCTGTCCAGAGCATGGGCAGATTTATGGGAATTAACTGAGGAATTCCCAGATGGAGCTGTGTGGGACCTGCTTTGGCTTTCTCCAAGCAGGAACATCCCCCCTGGAGCTGGCTGGGGATGACAATTCCAGAGCTGGGGATGACAATTCCAGGACTCAGGATAACAACTTCAGAGCTGGGGATAACAGTTCCAGAGCTACAGGACAACAATTCTAGAGCTGGGGAATAACAATTCCAGAGCTGAGGGATAACAATTCCTGAGGGTAACAGTTCCAGGACTCAGGATAACAATTGCAGAGCTGAGGGATAACAATTCCTGAGGGTAACAGTTCCAGGACTCAGGATAACAATTGCAGAGCTGGGGATGACAATTCCAGAGCTGGGGAATAACAGTCCCAGCAGTAAGGAATAACAATTTTGCAGCTGGGGATTCCACCAGAACCACCTCACAGCTCTAGCTGAATCCTCGTTTCCCAATAAATCAGTGCCAGGATCAGCTCCAGCTGTTCATTCCCAGGGGGAATTGGATGTGTTTGGCCAGGCAGGGTGAGAGGGAAGCTCCCGGCTTGTGGCAGCTCTTGGGATTTTAATTCCTGAGTTTTCAGGGATGAGCTTGGTCCCAGCTCTGCTGGAGCTCCCTGTAGAGTTTTCCAGGGATGCTCTTCCCAAAAAAGTCATGTAAAGGCTGCAGCAGGAGTAAAAGCTGAGCTCGCCTCTGCAGCCAGCTGGGAGCAGGTGTGAATTAATCCCAGCTTTAATTCAAGCTCCTTTAATCCTGCTGGGAAAGAGCAGCTCAGGATTTGTTGGGAGACCCTGCCCTGGGAGCAGGAATGGATTTAATGTGTGGAAAAATGCAGTTCTCAAGGAATTCTGGATTGTTCCCAGCCTGGAATGCTTTAAAATCTGAATTTCCAGGCTCTGAGAGTGGGGTTGGAGATGAAGGAAGGGGTTGGGCTCTGCCACATCCCAAAATAATGTTTAAAACTGGGACATGCCAAATCCCAAGGGATTGGGATTGATTTTGAATTTATCTGACCCAATCCAAAGATTTCTGGGCTATTTTTCCCCATATTGATGGATGATTCCATAAAATGGGCTCAGGATTCATTGGGAGACTCTGCTGGGTGCAGGAATGGATTTACTGTATGGAAAAATGCAGTTTCCAAGGAATTTTTTATTAGTTCCAACCTGGAATGGGCTAGAAACTGAATTTCCAAGCCCTGAGAGTGGGGCTGGGGATAAATGAAGTGTTCCCAACATCCCAAACAAGGTTAAAAACTGGGAGGTGCAACCCAAATCCCAACAGACTGGGATTGGTTTTAGTTTCTCTGAGCAAATCCAAGGATTCCAGGATTAATTTTCCCCACAGTGATGGTTGTTTATAAAAAATGGGAAAAGCAGTGGCTCAGCCCCAGAGCTCCAGGAGAAATTCCCAGAAAAAGCCATTTCAAATGATGCTAAAATTGGAAAAAAATCGTCAAATTTGGGGGGGAAAAAAAAGTCAAATGGTCAATATTTCATAAAACTTGAAATACGAATAAAATAATGGAAAAATCCCTGGGGCATTCAGAGCCCTCTCCAGTGCCAGGGGTTGCCGTGGAGCCCTTTGGGATTTGTTGTGTCCAGGGAAAATTCCTTCAGAAATGAATGGCCCCAAACACAGATTTTTGGTGCTGCTGGGCCCTCCCTTTTCCCACAATTCCAAGAAATATTTAATCCCCACTAAAGCTCCTGGATCCCAGCACGGTTGTGAAATATTTAGGATGCAGTTAAAGAGTTCTGATCCAGGCATTTCCATCCAAGCTGGGCTTTTAACTTGCCTCTCCTAGCAGCAAACAGGAATTTTGGAAGGAATTGATTTTTGATGAGAAGGGACAATTTTTCCAAGCCAATTCCATGTTTCTTGTTTCATCCTTGTGCAGGAGAAACAAGGAAAGCTGCCTGGGGTTGGCAGCTCCTCTAAAAAAATCCTGTTTCTTTTGTTTTCCTGGGTATCATCACTGATGGAATTCTGCAATTGTGGGGTTTAATCTTCAATCCCAAAGTTTTTTCCATGCTGTGGCCTTTCCCTCCCTTTCCATGGGCAGCACTGGCTTCATGCCAGGATTTCCCTTTTAAAATTCCAAATCCTGGTGCTTTTAAGATTAATTTGGATATCTGCAGGCTGGATCTTGGTATGGATGGACAGGGATTTACCCATGGACAGACCCCTGGGCATGGGAAATCCATGGAATTAGAGCTGGGGCAGGTGCAGAAATGGGCAGAGGAGTTGTGGATGGAAAATATTTTGGGAAAATTCCTGTTGCCCAACAAATTAAACTAAACGGGATTTTTTTCATCTGAGGTGTCAGAGAATTACTGAGGCAAGCAGATGGAATCTCCTCCGGAGTGCTGGAAGGGGATCAACACCCAGCAGAGCCGTGGGGGTGGGTGGGACCGGCAGGAGCGGGAATAACGGGATGGGAACTGGGGCTGGAGAGTTGCGGGCAGCTTGGGAAGGGTTTGAGCCTGGCCTGGGCTGGGATTTGGGCAGCTGGGGCAGATCCTGGGATGCTGTGGGGCTGTGGGGATGGGATTGGGATGTTCTCCATCACCAAAGGCATTTGGGAAGAGCTGGCAGGAGTTTGTTTTTGGGAATGTGTGGTTTGGGGCTGGGGTTTTCCCGGGAGGTGACAGCAGTGAGGTCTCCAGAATTCCAGACTCCTGGATGAGCTCTTGGCCATGGCTTTGCTGAGTTGGGAGGTGACACCCTGGAGGGGCTGGAAGGGAGGGGATGTGAGCACCGGGATGCTCCTGTTTGTCCTGGCAAATCCCAACCTAAACCCATCCCACCTGTGGGGTCTCACTGTGTTTGTCTTGGTGGCCCCTGGGTGAGCAGGGTCTGTTTAGGTGGGATTGTGGGAAGGAATTCCTCCCTGGCAGGGTGGGCAGGCCCTGGCACAGGGTGCTCAGAGCAGCTGTGGCTGCCCCTGGATCCCTGGACCCAAGGCCAGGCTGGGCATTGGGGCTTGGAGCAGCCTGGGACAGTGGGAGGTGTCCCTGCCATGGCAGGGTGGCACTGGGTGGGCTTTGAGGTCCCTTCCCAGCTCAAACCATTCCAGGAATCCATGATCCTCTGAGGAAAATCCTCTTGGGAGAAGGCAGCAGATCCCTTTGCCAACAGAGTTAAATCCTGAATTCCTGAGATCCACAAAACCTCATCCAGTGTCCCCTCATTGTCCCCTTGTCCTCTGCCTGTGTCCTCCCACCCCTCTTCATGCAGACCCTGGAGAAGCAGCTCCAGAGCTGGGAATGGCTGGGATTCCCTGTTCCCAAGGTTCTCCCAGAGCTGTTAGAAATTGAAAAGCACAATGAAATTGTAGAAAAATGCTACGGAATAGTGGGAGGCTGAGGAATGATTCATCCTCCAACAGAATCTCCTCAGATGTGGAGGTGGCACTGCTGGCCACCAGCGTGGATCCAGATCCAGGAGTATTCCAGGTTTAGGTCAAATTGGGCCTTGCTAACAACTTCCTCTGTCAGTCCTTAGTCCCAGATGGAATCTGGGGTTTGCTGGGATGTGAGAGCAGCAGGAATTCCGAGGAGAATCCTGAGGAGAGGAGGTGACACCCCAGGGTGTGTGGGGACAGGAGCCCACAGGGCTGATCTGAGCTCATCAATTCTGCTTCCAAAGCCACTTTGTGACTTTTGTCCACTTGTTTTAGTGGAAAAGAGGGACTGACCTCAAGTTACTCCACATGGATTTGGGATGTGGGAACCTCCCATCACTCCGAGCTCTGATGTGTCCAAGCCCAAAAGGCTTTTCCAGTTTGGAGCAGCTACCAAACCCAAAATTCCTTGAAATTTAGGACATTTTTAATGTAATTTCATGACCAACATTCCCAAGTGGCCTCGGGCTGTGCCAGGGGTGGGACAGCAGAGGGGCATCCATGAATTCATGAATCTTCAGTACTGGAGCCCTCCTGGAGAGTGGGAAGAGCTCAGGTTGGAGAGGGAGGGGCTGGTTTGGTTTGGTGATGTGGGAATGTCACCAAAGTGTCCTGGAACCAAATTTCATCTGGAAAGGGGCGGTTTTCTCCAGGTTTCTCTTCCTTGGAAGTTCAGAGCAGGCTGGAGCCACTGTTCCATGGAGGGGGAGCTGGGATCAGGGCCCAGGGATGCTCCTGGTGCCAAGGGGAGGTGATTTGGGATGAGGCCCAGGAGTGGTCTGCTCCTGGTAAATCCTGCTGCTGGATCTCCTCCCTCAGTTATCAGGGATCTGATCATCCAGGTGGGAACATTCCAGCTGTTCTCGAGCTCCTTAACCTCCCCCTTCTCTTCCAGAGGAGACGACGTTCGAGGCTGGAGTCAAGGTGCAGATCCACAGCCAGTCCGAGCCTCCCTTCGTCCAGGAGCTGGGATTTGGGGTGGCCCCCGGATTCCAGACCTTTGTGGCCACCCAGGAGCAAAGAGTAAGTCCCAAATTCCCGTTCCACCCCAGGATCCCTCCAGAGATTCCTCCTGGGTTCCTTCTCCATAATTGATGCCCCTTGAGATGCAGCTCCATCATTAAGAGGTTTTTGATGCCTTGCTTCAAATTTCTTGGGATGAGGGCAACTTTTCCAAGTTATCCCCCATGGTTATTCCCACAGTCCTGCATTCCCACAGTTCCTTAAAATCCCACAGTAATTCCATCTCCAGAACTGATTTTATCCCTGGTGACTTCCCTGCTTTGCTCTTCCATGGCTGGAGCTGAGCTGTGGCAGTTCTGAGTGTTGGGTCCCGTCCAACCCACTGGGGTTTTCCCAGAAAAAACACATTCCAAGGATATAAAAAGAGGCAGGAGGACAGAGCTTCCTAATGGAGAACAGCAGGAATCTTTCAGATGACACCAAAATATCCACATGATTGATGACAAACTCTCCTGGGATACCTGGGAGTCATCGTCTTCTGTGGAATCATCCATCCATATTGATGGATGGATGGATGGATGGATGGATGGATGGATGGATGATGGATGGATGGGTGGATGGATGGATGGATGGGCAGGGGTGGAAAGGGCTGGACAGGGCATCATATGGTGCCTGATGCTCAAAGATTTTGGGAACAGCTCCTCGAGTCAGACCCACCTGGCTGCTCCAGCAGTTATTGAAAAGATTTGCCTTCCTTAAAAATCCCATTCTGGATGAGATTTGGGAGCAGGGCAGGGAGCTGGAGCCTGCAGAGAGGATCTCAAGGACTTTGGGTTAAATTGGTGCAAATTCAAGGCTTTCCTGCAGCTGCTGGAATCCTTCCCCACCCCACTGCCAGCACTGCCTATTCCAAAATTTCCATTGAAAAATGAGAAATCCAACCAGAACATCATCTAGATGAGAGAGAGGGGAAAACTTTCCTCCCCAGATCCCCCCTTCCACATGGGAGATGTAGAGGACAGAAGAACAGATTTAGGGACTCTCAGCTCCAGGGTGTTCCTTTTTCCAGGGGTTTTGCCAGAGTTTTGCTGATGGGAGAGGGAAGGGCTCATTCCTGGGATTTTCTGACTGGTTTAAAATCATCTGAGGGCTCCAAAGCCTTCTCTCAGGAGAGGTGGAGGGATCTCCAGCATTCAGTTCCCACCCCAATCCTTCTTCCCATAAAGTAATTTTTAACCTAATTACAGTAATTAATAACTTCCTCTAATTAATTATTAGTCCTCAGGGACCTTGGGCTTCTCCCACCTTCCCAGTGTGCAGCTTTATCCCAATCTGTGATTTAGTCTGGGTTTTCCAACTAAATCTCTGTGCTTGTGTTGCTCCTTTAATAAACCAGAGCCAAAAGTGGAACAGCTCCAGGAAAATCCCCCAGAAACTGAGCCCAGGCAGTTATTGGGGTCCTGAACCCAGGGTTTTACATCCTGCACCATAAATATAAATGATCCTGCAGCTGGAAAAAAACCAGGAATAAAGAAAAAGTGGAGTTGATTTCCCATCTTCCAGCTCAGAGCAGCCTTGGGGAGTTAAAAACTCTTTTTCTGGGGATAAAAAGTGTGGAGTGGGGAAGATTTGGGATGGTGGGAGCTGTGGATCCTCTGTAGGACAGAATTTGGGGTGTGGAGGGTTCATTCCTGCCTCTGGAATAATTCCCTGTGGCCCTGCTCAAATCCCTTCTTTCTTTCCCCATCCCACTCTGGAAACCACAGCATTCCCTGGGCTTTGCTCCCTGATTTTCTGCCTTCCCAGGGCTGCAGCTGCTCAGCACCAGTGAAGATTCACATCTTGGGACCAGGGCATAAATCCTGGCTTTCCACCCAGAGCTTCCCAAAATCCCTCTGTCCAGAGCCAGCTCTGGTCCGTGGTTGGCATCTCATTAAAAATCTCCCTTCACAATGAGCTCTCAGGCTGGAAAAATGGGAATTAAATCAGCTTTGCTCCTCCTCCTGCAGTGGCTGAGCCCCGTGGTTCCTGCAAGGAGACACTTCTGGGATGCATTTCCCACCTTGGGAGTTAATGCAGGAGTGACCTTGGGAGGGACCTGGCAGTGGCAGGGTGGAAATGCTGAGTCAGCAGCAAAAACTCCTGAGAAAGCAATTCCAGCAGGAGCTTTGTCCATAAAATGTGGTGGATGGGTTAAAGAGACGAAGCTGCTTCTGGACACATGGCCAAGGGAGGTGTTTCCTGGTTAAAATAAACGTGGGATTGTTCATCCTGGAGGAGACACCAGGGGTGAGCGAACTGGGACCTTCCAGGACCTGAAGGGGCTGCAGGAAAAATGGAGAGGGAATATTTCCAAGGGATGGAGGGACAGGACACAGGGAATGGTTCCCACTGCCAGAGGGCAGGGCTGGGTGGGAGATTGGGAATTAGGAATTGTTCCCTGGCAGGGTGGGCAGGCCCTGGCACAGGGTGCCCAGAGCAGCTGGGGCTGCCCCTGCATCCCTGGCAGTGCCCAAGGCCAGGTTGGAGCAGCCTGGGACAGTGGAAGGTGTCCCTGCCATGGCAGGGGTGGAACTGGGTGGGCTTTGAGGTCCCTTCCAACCCAAACCATTCCAGAATTCCGTGGAAATCTCAGAGTGGAGCAATCCCTGAAGCTCAGGGCAGCCAGGGCTGTGTTCCCTGAGGGAAGCAGGAGCCAGTACACGATGGATGGTGGAAGGAGAACAGGAGGGTCTGGGTGGAAAATCCTCCCTGGATTCCCTCCCTGCCCAGGAGCAGAGGGAAAGAAGCAGGAGGGCTTCCCATGGAGCCCAGAGCTGCTGCCCTGGGGCTTTCATCCCATTTCCCATGGGATGACCCCCCACAGTCCCATCCCAGCTGGGTTCCCTGTGCCTCTCCAGGGTGCTCTGGGATCTCTGGGAGCGTTTCCGTGGCAGTTCCTGAGTGCATGGATGAGGCTTGTGTGCTCATGAACAGGAGCTGGCAGGAGCTGGCACAGGGAAGGATCCATCACCTCCTGAGGGATCCCGAGGGAGGCCAGAACCCCCTGGAATTGGGAATTGCCCTTCAGCTCCCATCACTGCTGGCTTTGGATGGATCCCTTTCCATTTTCCCCTTTCCTGGTACTTTTAGGTGAGCCTGGTGTTGGAATCTCCCCCTCCAGACCTTGGGAAGCTGCACTATCCCTGCAATATTCCCCTTTTCCCTGACCATGGCACCAAGGCTTGGAGTGACACAATAAAATCCATACTTTGAGGGGCTGATCCCATGAAGAAAGAGAAATTCCTCCTTCCTTCCCCTTCTCCAGGCTGGTTTTTGCAGCATCTCAGCATCACCTAAACCTCTTCCATCAGTAGTGGGATCAGACTTCCCAACAGAGCTGCACAGGGCTTTCAGGGAAGATGGGAGGCACCTGGAAAAGGGCAATTCCTGCCAAGTTGGCCATAAAAATTCAGTGAAGCCCTGGGTTCTGAGCTGGAGCAATGTTGTTTGATGGGGCTCTGGAGACTCATCCCCTCCAAAGGTTTTATGGGATAGAGAGGAGAGCTACAGACCTGCAGATCCAGAGTGGGATTAGAGAGGCAGGAAAATGGGATTCAGGGCTGGCAGTGGTGGCTTGGAAACCCAGTCAGGGTGGAAGCACTGGGGTTTGGGATGTAGGAGGAATCAAAGGACACTTCACGTGTTTGAGGAGTCATTTTACAAGGGATGGGGTGCCAGGACACAGGGAACGTGTGTCCAGAGAATTCCTTCCCAATGTCCCATCCATCCCTGCCCTGTCCCTGTCCCTCCCACTGCAGAATATTGGGAAGGAATTCCTGGCTGGGAGGGTGGGGAGCCCCTGGAATGGATTTCCCAGAGCAGCTGTGGCTGCCCCTGGATCCCTGGAAACGTCCCAGGCCAGGTTGGACAGGGTTTGGAGCAGCCTGGGGCAGTGGGAGGTGTCCCTGGGGATGGAATTGGATGAGTTTTAATGTCCCTCCCAAACCAAACTATTCCATAACTCCATGGACTCACATTTCCTAACCCTTGCTCCAAGCATTTTCTCCCACCATGATCTGACCGCTCCTGGAATCACTCCCTGATTTCTTTGTTCCCCTCAATCCCACAAACTCTCCCAGTGGATTCCCTCCAATTTATCCTTAAATTCTGAATTAATTCAAGAAGGAGATCCCATAAAACCAATCCCACAGAACCTTCATGGAGCAGTTGGAAGCGGGAGATGGAAGAAAACTTAGAATCTGTAGGGCAGGAGAGGGGTTTTGGTTGGGAAACAGCATTGGGAGGGAATTGGGAATGGATGCAAAGGAAAGTGGAAAAATGAGGGAAGGGATGGAGATGAGGCAGAGCCCAGAAGAGGAAGAGAGTGGAAAGGGAGGTCAGGAAGAGCCATCAGATCTGAGGGTGAGGGAATGGTTTGGGTTTCCTGCTCCCCCTGTACCCTGTGGAAAAGAGGATTTTATAAAAAGTGAGGACAGGAAAACTTCAGAGTCCAAAGAAGCATCCTGGAGCTCCAAAATCCCAATTTTCCCTGGGCACTTGTAAGCCCTGAGCTCTGCCCCTAGGGACTCCCAGAGGCTGGAAGGGTCAAATTCATCCCTGAAAACCAGTTCCTCAGGAAGGGAGCAAATGGGAAGGAACAGGCAGGATGGGAAAGGAGCTGGAGATGCAAACAGACAATTCCAGCACCATTAACTGGGAGCTGGGATCAGCCAGCCGTGGCTGCTCTGGGTTTCTCAGCATTCCACAAGGGCTGGAGCTGCCTGGGATGGAAATTCCAAGAAGCTGCTGCTGCTGGAGGTCTCCTTAAGGAACAGAGAGTTCTGGTTCTGGTTTGATTGGGAACCCAGCCCAGGTGGGGATGTTCAGGGAGGGCTTGGATCCTTCCTTGGGATTGCTGGAGTTTGGTGCCATCAGCCACGTGAGGGGATCTGGGCAGGAATTGGTGCTGGATCCATCCCAGATCCAGAGGGAAATGGGGCAGGGAAAGGTTCTTCCCCAGAGGTGCTGGCACTGCCCAGGGAATGGTCCCAGCCCTGAGGCTGCCAGAGCTCCAGGAGGGTTTGGACACCACTCCAGGGATGCCTGGAGGGATTGCTGGGATCTGGGGGGATTGCTGGGATCCGGGGGGATTGTTGGGATCCTGTGCAGGGTCAGGGCTGGGACTCAGTCCATGTGGGACCCCTCCCAGCCTGGGATATTCCAGCATTTTATCAAACTGCTCTGACCTCTGCTGGGATCATCTCTACCACATTTCCCTGTTTGAGAAAATGAAACAGGCAGGAAAAACAGGGATAGCACTTCCAGTTAATTGAAGGGGTGACCTCTGTGGCTGTGGGCAGATGCTGCAGCTCCCGGGAGGCTCTGTGCCAGCAGCAGTGTGGAAAGGCAGGAATGTGGCCAGGGAAGGGCTGTGGCAGGAGCTGATCCTCCCCTGCCCCAGGATCTCTTCCCTCCAGGTTTTCCAAGCTTATCCCTTTTTTTTCCTGGCACTTGGGACAAGCAGAATCCATTCAGCTTCCAAGGAGTCAAATCCATTTTTTCCTTCCCCTTTTAGCACCTGCCAGCTGGGAACTGATCCTGGTAATCCTGGAGAAAGCCGGGATCAGGAGGGCTGGAAAAGCGTTTAATTCATTAATTAATTATTAATGACTGCAAAAGGGCCAGACTGGGAGTTGGTCACCTTCAATTAGAGGCTAGAGCTGGATTTCTCTACACAGGAGCAGGAGGAGGAGCACTGGGGAAGCTGCCAGGGAGCACAAATCCTGCAGGATCTGAGGGCAGGGATGTTCCTGCTGCATTTTCCCTGCTTTTCCTGATGCTTTGCTGTGGTTTATTCCCACTTTGGGAGCAGCAGGGGAGGCTGGATGTGGCATTCACATTCCCTGAACAGAGAGAGACATAATTCTCTCACAGGATTTTTCCTGGGAAGGCAATGAGAAGCACAGAGAGAAGAAGAGAAAACAATTCTTATCTCAACTTGCTGCTCCTGTTGTTTGGCACGTGTGGAGTGTGTTATGGAGATTGTTCACCTGAAGTGATTTGTCAGTTGGATTCTGCTGAGGATTGTTTTGTTTCCTTGGCCAGTGGGGTCAAAGCTGTGTCCGGGCTGTCTCAGACAGCCAAGGGTTTTTCTTCAGTGTTCCTTAGTATCTTTTTAGTATAGTTATGATACAGGATCAATGTGATATAGTGTAGTGTTAATAAAGCAATTATTCAGCATTCTGAATCGTGGATCAGATGCCAATCATTGCCCACCCTGGGGTCACCCTGCATTCCATAGGTGGAGGGAGCAGCCCCACATCCTGGGGCTGATCCCTCCCACCAACCCCATACTGGGATCATCTGGCAGAAAGGAAAGGGAATCCCTCAGGAACCCCTCAGGAGGAGGGGGAGGAGGATCTGGAGAGGCTGCAGGGAGAGGGATCAAGCCCAATGAAGTCTCTCCTGTTAATTCTTCCAAGGCTGAGGGCTGGGATTGCTCCATCCATCCTGCTGCTGCTCCTTTGGGTGCCTTTGCCAGCAGCTCCAGGGCCAAGAGAGCAGGAATCCAGGTCTGAAAGAAGTTCAGCAGCTCCACAGGATCCAGGCTCTGGATGGAAAGGCTTTTCCTGAGGTTTCAGCCCTGATTTGGCCAGGAAGGGATTCAGGCGAGCACTTAGGGGTGGATTCCCCCTGGATTTAAGCCCAGAGATTCCTGTGCCAGGCTGGGAGCCGCAGCTGGGGGAAAACTCCCCACGTTTCCAGGGAATCTTCCTGCTGGGGACAGTTTGGTGGAGCTTTTCCAGCTTGTAAAGCGAAGTCTGCCAGGCAGAAATTCCAGCTGATCCCTCCACAGCTGCTGCCACTCCCGAGACATTCATTGTCACCTCCAGGATGTTCATTGTCACCTGGAGTGTCGCTGTGTGGCACTGGGACAGCTTGTCCCAGTGAGTTATCCCAGCAGTCAGGGAGCTCCGGGGAGGGGGGATACCCTGAGGGACTGCAGGGGCTGCCCTGTGACAGGGGACATGTCCTGCCCTGTCCCTTCCCTCTCACTGGCCCTGGCCCTGTCCTGCAGCTCATGTCCCTGTCCCCATCCCTGTCCCCAGCTGATGTCCCTGTGCTGTGCTGTCCCCAGCTGACATATCTGACCTCAGCTGATGTCCCTGTCCTGTCCCTTTCCCCAGCTGACCCCTGTGCTGTCCCCAGCTGACCCCTGTGCTGTCCCTGTCCCCAGCTGACCCCTGTGCTGTCCCTGTCCCCAGCTGACGTACCTGCCCCCGCCGTGGGGCGAGTGCCGCTCCCCGGAGCTGGGGCTGGCGTTTTTCCCGGTGTACAGCGTCACGGCCTGCAGGATCGACTGCGAGACACGCTACATCGTGGAGAACTGCAACTGCAGGATGGTGCACATGCCAGGTGGGGGACAGGGGACACCTGGGACAGCTGGGGATGGGCTGGGGATGGGCTGGAGGGACGATTCACAGGACAGATCAGGGACAGGGGGGGCAGCTGGGGACACCTGGGGACAGCAGGGATGTGTTGAAGGGACAGTCACCTGGGGGGACACCTGGAGGGGACAGCTGGAGCATAGACTGGAGGGACAGGCCACGTGCCAGATGAGCGACAAGGACACCTGGGGACACCTGGGGCTGGGTTGGAAGGACAGTCCACATGCCAGGTCAGGACAGGGACGCCAGGGGGGACAGCTGGAGCATAGACTGGAGGGACAGGCCACGTGCCAGATGAGCGACAAGGACACCTGGGGATGGACTGGGGATGGGCCATGTGCCAGGTCAGGGACAGGGGGGACACCTGGGGACACCTGGGGATGGGCTAGAGGACAGTCAAGGACATGGACACCTTGGGGGACAGCTGGGGCTGGGCTGGAGGGACAGGCCACGTGCCAGGTCAGTGGCAAGGACACCTGGGGGACACTGAAAGCTGGACTGGAGGGGCAGCCATGTGCAAGGTCAGGTACAGGGACACTAGGGGACACCTGGGGCATAGACTGGAGGGGCAGCTATGTGCAAGGTCAGGGACAGAGACACCAGGGGACACCTGGGAATGGGCTGGAGGGACTGGGGGTACCTGAGGGAAGAAGATGCTTGTGGCCTTTGGGAAAGGCTGGATGTGAGCCAGCAGGGCCATCCCTGTCCTGGGGGATCAGGGACAGCAGAGCAGCAGGGAGGGACTGTCCAGCCCTGCTCTGGGTTGGGGCAGCCTCAGAGTTGAACCAAGAGTTCTGGAGTAGTTTTGGGCACCATAAAATAAAAAAGACATCAAAGAACTCGAGAGGGTCCAAAGGAGGGACATGAGGATGGGGAAGGGTCTGGAGGGGCCACACAAGGAGCAGCTGAGGGCACTTGGAGTGTTCAGGTGGAGCAGAGGGGGCTGAGGGCAGAGCTCAGTGAGATCAATGTCCTCAGGAGGGGCACAGAAGGGGCAGCTCTGATCTCTGCTCCCTGTGACAGGGACAGGACCCCGGGAATGGCTGGAGCTGTGTCAGGGGAATTTGGGATGAAGATCAGGGAAAGGTTTTTCCTCCAGAGGGTGCTGGGCACTGCCAGGGATGCCCAGGGTGGGATTGTTGGGATGTCTGGGCAGGTCCAGGGGTGGGACTGGATAGTCCTGGAGGTCCCTTCCAACCCAGGATATTCCATAACTCCCTGTGAAACAGGGCCAAGCCATGGAAGAGAGACCTGGGTCTGGTTAGGGTTGGAAAAGGCTTCTGGGACCATCAGATCCCACCTTTCTTAGCTCCAGTGCCCCCCGGGTGCTGTTCCCAGCAGCTCCTGCAGGACAAGGCCCCTGTGGCAGGCAGAGCTGGGGACAGCGGGGTCACCTGACTGCAGGGGGGTCTCTGGGTCCCCAGGGAGAGCCCGGTGTCCCCCTGTGATGGCTTTGTCCTGTCCCTGCAGGGGATGCTCCCTTCTGCACCCCGGAGCAGTACAAGGAGTGCGCAGAGCCGGCGCTCAGTGAGTACCGGGAATCCCTGAGCCGGGAGAGGGAATGTTCATGGAATTCCAGCGGCCTGGATGCTGCTGGCTGGCAGGAACGGGGGATCTGCAGCCCGGAGAGGGGCTGGGATTAGCCTCAGGTTGCTGGAAGTGCTGGATGCACGCTGGGATGAAGTTTCTCCTGGTTCTCCATGGGGAAAGGGCTCCATGAGCACAGAAACCCTTGGGATCAGGGGAGCTCCAAGAGCCCTCCTGGGGTTGAATTTGGGGTGGAGGGACCCATTCCAAGCCTGGGTTTAGGGACTCAGCCACGAGTTCTCCAAGCTGTTGTTGATGACAGTGTCACCTCCAGCAAGCAGCCTCTCCAAGGGGGTGAGAACTGGGATGAACTGGGAGAGAAGTGTCCAGAGTGAGAAATGTCCCCTTGGCCCCTTTGTGGGAGGGATGATCTCTGCTCCTGCCCTGCTCCATGTCCCTGTCCCTGCCCTGCTCCAAGGGTCCCTCCCTGCTCCGTGGGACTCCGTGTGCTCCATGCCTGCCCCCCTGCAGGTCTCCTGGCAGAGAAGGACAGCAATTACTGCATCTGCAGGACCCCCTGTAACCTCACCAGGTACAACAAGGAGCTCTCCATGGTCAAGATCCCCAGCAAGACCTCGGCCAAGTACCTGGAGAAGAAGTTCAACAAGTCGGAAAAATACATCTCGTGAGTGGGGGAGGACCTGAATTCCTTTGGATTTTGGGAGGGAAATGTCTGGGAAATGCCCAGTCCTGGCCAATCCATCCCCAGCACAGAGATGCCCTTCAGGGAAGAGCAGAGTGAAAACCTGGGAGAGATGAGGTTGGTTTCTCCTCAGTAGATTTTCTCTCTGAGTTCCTTCTCAAGGATTGTCCTCATGTGAATCCTCCAGTCCCACCAAAACAAATACAAAATTTCCCTGTTGGAGATTGGTGTCTCTGGACTGAGCTCCTCAGACCATGGAGCTCTCCCAGCCCTGGGCTTGTGATTGCTGTGTGTGGGAAGTGAGAGTTCTTCCAGATCCCTTGGATTCTCTTCCCAGAATCACAGAATCCTGGAATGGTTTGGGTTGGAAGGAACCTTAAACCCACCCAGTGCCCCCCCTGCCATGGCAGGGACACCTCCCACTGTCCCAGGCTGCTCCAAGCCCTGTCCAACCTGGCCTTGGCACTGCCAGGGATCCAGGGGCAGCCCCAGCTGCTCTGGGCACCCTGTGCCAGGGCCTCACCCCTCACAATCAGGAATTACCATCCAAGAGAAGAGTTCCCAGCAAAGTGAGATCCAGGATCCTGAGGAGTTCTGAGGAAACCTTTCCCAGCTGCTCCAAAGGTTCCAGAGCCCTCAGGGTGCCCTGAGCTCCTGGTCTGCACCAGCTCCAAGTTCTGTGGGGTCTGAGAACCCCAGAGAGAGGAACAATCATACAAAGGGGAATAAAGCCCCAAAATCCCGTTTTTCCCTTATCCCAAAGGATTGAGCCACCAATGGCTCCTGGGCTGAGGTTTTCCCTGTTCCCACAGAGAGAATATTCTCGTGCTGGACATTTTTTTTGAAGCACTCAACTATGAGACCATTGAGCAGAAGAAAGCCTATGAAGTGGCAGCCTTACTTGGTAAGGGGGAGCTGGGACCAGTTTGGGGTCTCTACTGGTCTGGGAGGGACAGAGAGAGGCTGGGAGGGGTCCACAGCCTTGAAACCCCAGCAAGGCCCATGTCTGCTTTCCTCACCCCCCCATGGCATCCCAGAGATGTCCCCATGGATACTCTGTGTGTTCATGGAAGGTTCTGGAGCTGCTCCATCCCTGCCTGCTCCCTTTTTTGGAGATTTTGGGGCTGGGTGGGCGCTGGGTGCCCTCTGTGGTGCAGGGTGTGGAGGGCATCCCAAAACCATCTCCCCATCACCTCTTCCCTGTTCCAAATCCAAGGTTTCAAGCCAGGCTTGAGCTCTTGGCCTTCAGCTGCTTCATGGAGGAGGAGGAGACCCAGGGAAGGTTCTGCTCCATCCCTGCCTGCTCCCAGCACCCCAGCTTTTGGGGATTCTGCTCCCCTGGGCAGTGTGTGGGAGAGGACATCCCAAAGCCATCTCCCATCACCTCTTCCCTGCTCCAAATCCATCCTTTCCAGCTGGGCCTGAGCTCTTGGCCTTTGGATGCCTCATGAAGGAGCTGAAGGAGACCCAGGGAAGGTTCTGCTCCATCCCTGTTCCCATTTTGGGGGGATTTTGGGGCTGGGTGCTCTCTGTGCTGCTCCCTGGGCAGGGTGGGGAGGACATCTCAAAATCACATCTCCATCACTCTTCCCTGCTCCAAATCCATCCTTTCCAGCAGGAGGTGGAGGAGACCCATGAAAGGTTCTGGAGCTGCTCCAGCCCTGCTTGCTTTCAGCTCTCTGTTTTTGGAGATTTGGGGTTGGGTGGGTGCTGGGTGCTCTCTGGGGTGCAGGGTGTGGGGGACATCCCAAAATCATCTCCCCATCACCTCTTCCCTGCTCCAAATCCACCTTTTCCAGCCAGGCCTGGGCCCTTTGGATGCCTCATGGAAGAGCTGCAGGAGACCCTGAGCTGCTCAGCCCCAGATCAGCTCCAGCCTTGGGGTCCCAGCTGCAGATTTGGGGGTGGCCCCACTGGGTTTGGGGTGGGGGTGAGCCCTCCCCCAGCCCTGCAGCCTCCCTGGATCCCTCTGGAATGCTGGGAGTGCTCAGCCCCTTGGGAAGCTGGAGCTGGGTGACCCCTGGGGCACAGAGGTGTCCCCATGTCACCCCCCATGGCTGGCCCTGCCACATGGCCCCTCAGGAGCCCTTTGCATCTCCTGGGGATTTTCCAGGAATTCCAGGCGGGAAGAGGAGGCTGCTGGAGCCTCTCTGACCAGTTTGCACCTCATAGGACCCTCATTCCCAAGCTCTGGAACTTCAGGAACAGCCTCATCTCAGAATATTTTTCCCAGGCTCAAAGCCTCCAGGTGAATCCCCCTGATGTAAACCCAGAACACCGCCTGGGATCATTCGGGGTTCTCACCTTGATCCCAAACTTCTCCCCTCTTTCCTCTCTCCGTGTCTCATGGACACCCCTGGAAAAGGCCCCTTCCCCCCACCCATGGGTGCCTTTGCTCTGGGGGTCAATCCATGGGATTTGCTTCCCTGAGCACCACATCCCAGTCACCTTCCCAGCAAATTCCTGGGAATCTCCTTTCCTCAGGTTCCTCTTCCACCCCAGGACTCTCAAGAAGAAGCTGGGAGATGCTTCCCAAAAAACCTAGGGCACCTCCCTTTCCACTTTTTGCCAGGTTGGGGTTTCTCCTTGGCTCCAGGGACGTTGATTCTTCCCAGCACCTTCCCCAGAGGGGGAACTGAGATTCCTGGGATGCAGCCTGGAGGGCTCCAGGCTCCATTAGCAGGAAAACCATCAGCTGCCGATGCCATTGCAGACCCTGCTGCTCTGGGGAATTGTTCCCAGTTTTTGAGGATGGCAGCTCCCAGGCAGGGCCCGGCAGTGCCCGGGAGCCCTCACGGTGCTGTCCCCTGCAGGTGACATTGGTGGCCAGATGGGGCTGTTCATCGGGGCCAGCATCCTCACCATCCTCGAGCTCTTCGATTACCTGTATGAGGTAAGGCCTTCCCAGCCCCCAGCCCAGGATATCCCACCCTGGAGCCCCCCAGCCCAGGATATCCCACCCTGGAGCCCCCCAGCCCTGTTTTTGCCACTCCTGGTGCCCCTTATCCCCAGATTTGCCACTCATGGTACCCTTCATCCCTGGGTTTCCCATCCTGGTGCCCCTCATCCCAGGATTTCTGATGTCTCTCATCCCTGGATTTCCCTTTCCTGCCCCTCATCCCTGGATTTGCCCCTCATCCCTGGATTTCCCATCCTCAAGCTGCTCATCCCTGTTTTTCCCACTTCTGATGACCCTCATCCCTGGATTTTCTGTTCCCTGGGGATCCCAGAGCCCCCCCAAAATCCTGTATTTCCAGTCTGCCTCATCCAGCTCTCACACAGCCCCAGCTCAGGCTGGGAACAGGGAGTTTTATTGCCATGGGATAAGAGAGTTTTCCATTTGATTTATCATTGTCCATTTGATTTAATGAGTCCCAGCCCAGGCTGGGGACACGTCCCACTCCAGGAAAGAGAACCTCACAATCCCAGCTCTGAACTCACTTCAAATCCTCTCTTTTTTTTTTTTTTTTCAATATTTTTATATTTTCAGACAATTGCCCCAATCCCAATCCCTCCTGGGCAGCTCCAGCATTGGTGCCATTAACCAGGAATAAAAATTATGGAAAAATTCCAGGACTAAAGCTGAGAGATGAACAAAAGCTGAGCCTGAATTTAGAGCTCAGCCTGGATACCCAAGTATTTCATCAAATTTTCCTTTTCCTGGATTTCTTGGGGATTTTTCCCAAGTAGGCCATAAGAAACTTCACAAATTAGGGTTTTTCCTCTGTTTTCCTCCTTTCTTTCACATCTCCTGATAAAATTTGTCAAATGTGGGGGGTTCTGCTGCACTTTTTAATTTTTCTTCTTATTTGGGCTTAAAATTAATTTTGTTCCCTCAAAGAAGCTCCCTGGGGTTGCCCCAGCAAGGGAATCTTCACAATCCCAGATATATAACCTCCGCCAGCCAGGAAAAAGGAATAAAATACCTTGAAATTAAAAAAAAAAAACCAAAAAACCTCCACACAGTTTTTCCCCTCTGCTCTGAGTTTCACAAAGTGGGGGGTTACTACTTCAAAAAATTGAGTTTTCAGCCAAAATATTTAGACATTCTGGGAATGTCTAAACCACATACAATTTTTTTCATGGATTGGCCAAATTTGGGGAAAATATTGACCATAAAGAGGCTTTTTTGTGATTTTCTGCCAAGCTCTGTCATCCTGGTCCCAAATTCCCACCACACTTCCCTGCACCAGCCAGGATCCACATTCGTTAGGAACTGACCCAATTTTTGGGGATTTCAGGATTTCAGCTTTCTTCTTGTTGGTTTTATTTCTCTTTTCTCCCAGTGGGAGCTTTCCAGTAAAACACTTCCCAAGTTTTATAGGATTTCCCTGGAAGCCAAATCCTGTAGCAGCAGGAAGATGAGGGGGCTGAGAAGAGAAATGGACCTCAGAGTGCTGGGAGCTTTCCCTGAACCCCAAAAGTGTCCCAAAAATGGAATTTTTTGGGGGGGTTTTATTCCTTGTAAGAGAATCCTGGAATGGTCTGGATGGAAGGGACCTTAAGGATCATTGAATTCCCACCTCTGCCATGGCAGGGACACCTCCCACTGTCCCAGGCTGCTCCAGCCCCAGTGTCCAGCCTGGCCTTGGGCACTGCCAGGGATCCAGGGGCAGCCACAGCTGCTCTGGGCACCCTGTGCCAGGGCCTGCCCACCCTGCCAGGGAACAATTCCTCATTCCCAATCTCCCATCCATCCCTGCCCTCTGGGATATTAATATTAATATTATTAATAGTGGCTAATATAGTTATTATTAAGACTTTTTTATTAAGATAATATTATTAGTTATAATTATTATTATTTATATTAATTACTGGTATATATAATATTATCTATTATATAGAGTGAACGATCTGTTTAGTTAACATCCAGTGAACATGTAATGAAGACCCTACTCAGTATCAACATCTACTGTCTCAACAAAATATTCCCTGTGTCCTGTCCCTCCATCCCTTGTCCCCAGTCCCTCTCCAGCTCTCCTGGAGCCCCTTCAGGCCCTGCCAGGGGCTCTGAGCTCTCCCTGGAGCTTCTCCTCTCCAGGTGAGCACCCCCAGCTCTCCCAGCCTTTCCCTGGCCCAGCCCTTGGAGCTTCCTCCTTCTCCCAGCCCTTTGGAATGCAGCCCCAAACCCAGCACACCCCAGTGCTCCCCATCCCCCTGCAGCCTCTTCTCACCCTAACCCTGGCTGCCTCTTCTTGCAGCTGATCAAGGAAAAGTTATTGGACCTTCTTGGAAAAGAGGAAGAGGACGGGAGCCATGACGAGAACGTGGTAAGGAGAGGGGGGCTGACACAGGGGTCTCCTCCAGCCAGGTGCTTTGAGCTCCTGGAGATCTGTATCACACCCAAGGTAGCTCAGCCACCTCAGATGGCATAAAATCAGCAGGATGGCTTCTGTGGCGGTGTTGGAAACAGAAAAGTTTTAATAAAAGGCAAAATAACAAAGCTCTTACAGAGAAAACCCGAGCCAGGGGCAAGAGGTTCTTGCTCCTGCTAAAACACCTCACAAAAGCCATTAGTTCCTTTGTTCTCTTCTTTTTCTAGTGAATTGCTCAGGCAGGACCTCTTGGCCTCTGTCCAATTGGGTATCCTTAAGTTTGAGGTGAAGTCCCCAAGGTCCTATGAGGTGTCTTTTTAAATTGAGGAGAGAAACTTCTGGGCCTTTTTCCTTTTTAAGGAGACAAAGGATAATTTGGTCACTCCATCAACAGGGGACACATTCCTACAAAGGGGAAATGCCCTGGGAACGCTGGAGCTCTTCCCACTTGTGTTAGGATCTGGTTATTAAAATTATAATTAGAGATGCCTCTGCCCCCGTCAAACTGCAAATGGGACCAGATGCCAGACGATAGTCTGGAGTTTATTGGATAGTAAATATGAGAGGGAGAGAGAAAAAGCAAGGGAAAGAAATGGAAAATAGGTGGGGGGAACAGAAAGAGAGGGACAGAGACAGAATAAGGAGAATATCCCCATCCATGATTGATCCCATCGGTCCCCTGCAGCTGGTCTTGGTGGTGAAGTCCCCCAGAAGCACAGAATGTGATGGGTTAACACAGCTCAGGTAGGAAAGCCCAGGCAGGGCTGGAGTTTGCCACTGCCTGCTGCCCCAGAGCCCAGGTGTGCTGCAAGGCCCCAGCATGGCCCTGGGGAGCACTCGGGGCTCTCTGACGGCTTGTGACACCCCCTGAGCTGCTCCTCACGTGGCTATCCCATGGATGTGCCTTCCAGCACTGGGCTCCCCTCCTGGGCCAGTTCCTGTAAGGGGGGTGGGTGTTCACTGCCCCTGAGCAGAGGGACTCCAAAACCTCCTCATTTCCCCTCATTTTGGGGGACCAAACCTGGCTCTTGTGGGCTCTGGTGTCCCCCACCCCAAACCCAGCCAGGGAAGGGTCTGTGCTGTGTTTGATTTTCTGGTGGGTGCATTCCTCTCCCTCAGCCTTGTTTCTTTTTCTTAATCATTTCCTAGGAAATTATTAAGGAATGGGTTTCCCTTTATCCAAATTAGGTTTCATTTACAATCCAGAGTCCCAGCCAGGCATCTTCAGGGAGGCTTCTCTGGCTGTTCCTTCTTTACCCAGTTTTGTTACAGTGAGCAAAACTTTCTGTCAATGTTTGAGGCATGATCTGTTTCAGTCTCTCCAGCCCCAAACCCAGCCAGGGAAGGGTCTGTGCTGTGTTTGATTTTCTGGTGGGTGCATTCCTCTCCCTCAGACTTGTTTTTTTCCTGGGCCTGAGGTGATTAAGGAATGGGTTTCCCTTTATCTAAATTAGGTTTAATTTACAATCCAAAGTCCCAGCCAGGCATCTTCAGGGAGGCTTCTCTCCTTCTTTCTCCAGTTTTGTTACAGTGAGCAGAACTTTCTGTCAGTGTTTGAGGCAGGAACTGTTTCAGCCTCTCCAGCCCCAAGCCCAGCCAGGGCAGTCCCTGCTGTGTTTCTGGTGGATGCATTGCTCCCCTCAGCCTTGGCTGTTTGAGGGGATTGAAGGATGCTTTCCCTTTATTCCATCCCTGCAGTTTGACTTCCAGCCCAAAGCTCTCCAAGGAGATTTCTGTGCCTGTGGCTCCTGTTATAAATACATATTATATTATTGGCTTTTTGCACATATTATATGTATCATGTTAAAATAACTTTGCTTTTATTTCTACTCTTAACAAAAACTTAGATATAATAATAATAGTAGCTAATGTAGTTATTATTAGCTAATATAGTTATTATTAAGTTATTAATAGTAGCTAATATAGTTATTATTAAGATTTTATTAATATATTAATATTATTAGTTATAATTGATATTATTAATATTAATTACTGGTATATATAATATTATCTATTTATAGAGTGAACTGTCTGTTGAGTTAACATCCTGTGAACATGTAATGAAGACCCTACTCAGTATCAACATCTACTGTCTCAAGAAAATATAAGCCAAAGTCCAAGCTAGAATAAAGAGAATAAACCAAAACCACAACCAAAAAACACACTCCAAAAAAACAGACCCAAAGAAGAACCATACAGAATAGTTCCTAGAATGTAAACTAGTTTATAGAACAATATAAATACGTATGTCTATGAATATACAACAAGCTAATGTAATAGAAAAAATATTTAAGAAATGTCTCCAAAGATAAGTGTGCTTTTAATTAAATACCAAACACCCAACTGTTTTTAACCCTTTGCTTTATTTCTATCTCCTACTATCTTTTTTATTAAATATTATTCCTTTATTAAACAAAGGAATAAAACACCTTAAAATTTAAAAAAAAGTTAAATTTTACCAAAAAAGTAAACCCGGCTTTCCACATCTCCTTTATCAGCTCTTGTAACAAGGAGCAGAACTTTCTGTCAGTGTTTGAGGCATGAACTGTTTCAGTCCTGGGAGCCCCCAGCAGCTGTGGTGTTAGTGTTCAGGAACACAAAATCAGGGAATGATCATATGCAGGTGCTTTTATTGAAGAGCTCTGGGTGTCAGGGGCACAGACCCAAATCTGACTCTGACATGGGTTCAGGATGAACACGTTTTCATACCCTTATTGTTATATAACTACATATTAATTATTAAACTTATATTGTTCTATTGCATACATTGTTTTCATCCGAGCATGGATTTTTGTAATCTCCATCAAACCCCCCAAACATCATTTCTCATGATTCCTGTTACAATTAAACAATAATTCTATCCAATTACTGTCGCAATACGACACGAAACAAACGACACTCACACGCTGAGGTGTCCAAGGCAAAAAAGCACATTTGTTTCTGGACCTCGATACTTATAGAATTCCAAAAGTGACCATGGATTGGAGGACGAAATTGGCACCTCTCCAACCACACTGGTCAAACCGACAGTCCATCAATTCTCTCCTCTTCCAGAAAGGAATGCAAAGCAATCACTATTTACATGAAATTGGGTGAGAAACTCCATCACAAAAATGTAAACATCAGAAGGCTTAGAAGAACTTTAGAAGAACAGGGCAACACAGGTGCCAAACAATCATCGCATTTAACAATCACATCATTTATCATTTAACAATCATATCATTTATCATAGTCATTAAATGATTATACAGGTGCAGTTTGGCATGATCCAGTAAAGCCTAACATTTTCCCAGGGCCTTCCTCTTGTATTTGCAGGGTTCCCAGACGAAGGGAGGAATGATGAATCTGACTCCATGTTCTTGAAAGCTAATTTATTATTTTATTATACTGTATTATGTAAAAGAATACTATACTAAACTATACTAAAGAATACAGAAAGGATACTTACAGAAGACTAAAAGATAATAATGAAAACTCGTGACTCTCTCCAGAGTCCTGACACAGCTTGGCCCCAGTTGGCCAGTGAGTCAAAACAACTCACAGCAGAATCCCATCAGCCTGTGGGCAAACAGCCTCCAAACACATTCCAAAGCAGCAAAACACAGGAGAAGCAAATCGGATAATATTGTTTTCCTTTTTCTCTGAGGCTTTTCAGCTTCCCAGGAGAAGAATCCTGGGCAAGGGGATTTTTCCAGAAAACATCACGGTGACACCTACCAGGCCCAACCTTTTTCCAGCTCCTCTGAATACCCCATGATTTTAGAGACATTTTATCCCTGTACTATCAGTGGGATAACGCATTCCCTGCTTTTCCATGGCAGAGCACCTGTGATCCAGTGCCAAACCACTCGGAGAGCCTGAGCCACACTGTGACCGTGCCCCTGCAGGCCCCGCTGGGGACGCTGGAGGAAATCGCCTGCTGACCCCTCCCCACCACAGTGCCCATCCCGAGGAAGGAAAACTGCACAGGGAAAACAGGGACCCAGCTCAGGTTTGCACTGGGGGGAAAAAAAAAAAAAAGATGGAAAAAAAAAATACTGGAAAAAAATTATTGGAAAGAAAATTATTTTAAAAAATCTATTAAAAAAATAAAAAAAAAGAAGAATAAAAACTCGCTATGCATTAAAAGAATATAAAAATAATATAAAAATATAAATTCTAAATATACTCTGCCCAAAGTGAGAGGCGCCTTGGACCTGACTCCTGTTGTCCTTTCCTCCTGGGGGTTTGGCTCCAACCTGGGAAGCAGCTCCCAGGCTGGGAGAGCTGGGAATGTTCACCTGGAAAAGGGAAGCTCAGAGAAGAGAAACCTCAGAGCCCCTTCCAATGCCTAAAGGGGCTCCAGGAGAGCTGGAGAGGGACTTGGCACATGGGATGGAGGGCCAGGACACTTTTTGGGATTGTCCAAGCCTCAGCAGCAGCAGCAGCAGCAAATCCCAAAGGAAGCATCCCAAATACCCTGAGCACTGCACGCCAGGGCTTTTCCTGGCCCCAGGATTCCTCAGCTGCCTCTCTCAGCTCTGTTCCTCTTTGCAGTCCCTGGGTTTCAGTGCCAGAAGGATCATCCCAGAATTCTCCATTCCCAGCGCCGTAGGCTGAGAGTTTTACAATAAAGAGATCCCAAAGTCGGCACTCTCGGATTCTTCTCCCGGTCGCGTCCTCTGGGTGAGGTTGGGCTGAATCCCGAGCTCAGCCCAAGGTGAGCATCCCTGGAGAGGAGCCACAGGGATCCCTATGGATCATCCCAGCCCTGCTGTGCCTGCAGAGTCCGGGAGCAGCGGGTGGGGTTGGGTTCATTAATTTCTTTAATTTTTGGGGGGAACTTTTTGAATTTTCTTCTTCTCCCATTTATGGATTCTGTGCTTTCTCCTCATTCTCCTGACTGATATTAAAGCTGGTCTTGTGGAAATGGCCAGGCTGTGTCATTCCTGCCTTGCCCTCATCGCCAGTGGGAGGGCAGATCCCAGGAAGAGCCTTCCCAGGGCTCTTCCTCATCCCTTCCCCCTCCTTTTCCTCTCCCACCACGTCCTGACACAGCTCGGGATTAGGTGGGAGTGGTGTCCTGGCCATGCTCAGCTGCATCCCTGTCTTCCCTGGGATGGGATCTCCAGGATGTGCTGGGATCTCTGGGATGTTGTGGGATCTCTTTGCTGACAGAGGTGTTGGAAATCTCTCCATGATGTTTTGGGATTGTTCAGTCTGGAGAGGAGGAGCTTTGGGGTGACATCACTGAGGCTTCCAGGCCTGAAGGGAGCCTGGAACAAACATGGACAGGGACTGGGGACAAGGGATGGAGGGACAGGACACAGGGAATGGCTCCCACTGCCAGAGGGCAGGGATGGATGGGAGATTGGGAATTAGGAATTGTTCCCTGGCAGGGTGGGCAGGCCCTGGCACAGGGTGCCCAGAGCAGCTGTGGCTGCCCCTGGATCCCTGGCAGTGCCCAAGGCCAGGCTGGACATTGGGGCTGGAGCAGCCTGGGACAGGGGAAGGGGACAGTGCCATGGCAGAGGTGGGAATTCAATGGTCTTTATGCTACTTCCAACCCAAACCAGTCCAGGACTCTGGGATTCCAACTTTTCCTTTACTGATCCACTTTAACTGGCTCCAAAGTGTAACAAGAAAATCCATTTCCATCCGAGTGCATCCCAAAATGTGTCAGCAGTGGCTTCACCCCTGGATCCAGGCACTGAGGGGCTGCTCTGCCTCATCTACAGCACTGAGAGAGACCTGGGGATTTTAAGAAACACTCTCAGGGAGAGATGAGGGTCTGAGGGGCCTGGAAAAGGGCCCTGAGCCCTGATGGAGTGGGATGGGGGGAGATTTCATTTTTGAATCCAAACTTCATCAGGATCAAGTGTTCATTTTCCAGAAAAAAATAAATAAATAAACATCAGAAAAAAACTGTGAGGATTATTTGGGGATTCAGAAGAAACAACCAAAGTTCAAACTTCCAGCACAGCCCCAGCCCTGCTCAGTGCCCCAGAATTTTCCAGAGAAAAAGGAAGCTCCATTATTTGCAGTAATTAACCCCAAGCTGGCTTGGAGCACACTTCAAGGAAAAGAGAAAGGAGTGGAAAAGGCACTAGTAGGTCCATCCGACCTGTTTGGTGTTGGATGGATCTGCCCAGGGATGGAGCAGGGAGCAGGGATGGGAGCAGGGATGGAAGCAACCATCAGCTCCCAAAACCCCCAAAATCCTGATGGAAAAAATGAAAAAAGAATCCCCATGGGAGATGAAAATCCCATGGACAAGGTGGGAAAATCCAGAGTGGGACTGACTGGGGGGTTTGGCTGAGCTGCAGCTCAGGAAATTCAACCTCAACCACAAATCCATCAAATAAAGCTGGAATTGCCATCCCAAGGGATAATCTCCCTTGGAGCTCCACAGGGATGGAGCACTGGGTCATCCCCCAGCAGGGCCCCAGGGCTGGCACAATGAGGAAAATCCCATGGGAATGCTTCAGGAGGAAAAGCAGGAGCAGAACCAGCTCTGAGAAGGGATTTCTGAAGTGCAGCTGTGTTTTTGGGGAATGGGAGAGCTCAGCTTGGCATGGAGAGAGCTGGAGCCCAGGCCAGAGCACATTCCTGGGATTTGTGGCCCAGCCACCACATCCCTGACCAGCTCCCACAGCTGTGCTCCCACAAGGAGCAGGAAAACACCCAGGAAATGCTCTTGGAGTCACCTCCACTTGCTCAAGGTCACCCAAGCACCTCTCCCTATTCCTCCTTCATTGCCAGCATTCAGAGGCTCCTCCATCCCACAGGATGCTCCAAGGACCAGCACTTCATCATTGCTGGGAATCACCAACTGTGAAGGACATTCCATGGTCCATTCTCCCTGCTCCTCCCCCGAGCCTGCAGCAAGGACAGCAATTAGAGACAATTAACAGGAATTTTTAACAGGAAAATTGTCCTTGTTTTGTGTTAGTTTAGGCGGGAAGAGCCCAATCCCAATCCTAACCCCAACCCCAATCCCAATCCCAGCCCCAACCCCAATCCCAATCCTAACCCCAACCCCAAATCCCAATCCTAACCCCAATCCCAACCCCAATCCCAATCCCGCCCTGATGGGAATCCTTGTGATGGTTCCTCTCCCACCCCGTGGTGGTTTCTGAAGGTTTTGTTGCCTTCTCCCCTGCAAGAGCTCAGTGATGATCCATTAGCTCCTGGAATTTCTGGGAGCCACGGTCGCTGTTTCCTTGGCTGTGTCTGATGAAGCATGCTTCATGTCTGACTCCAGTTTTAAGCTCTCAGAAGCTTTTCCCTCCCCTCCTCCCTGTGTTTTCCAGCGTCTCCATTGTTATTCCAGGCAGGAACATCCCCCAGCCTCCTTAAAGAAATCATTCCACACTCCGCAGGGTTCCTGCTCTACCTGAGCTCAGGAGTAGCCCTGGAGCACACCCAGGGAATCTTGCAGAGTAAAAATCCCTTTTTTTCCATCAATTTCCTACAGGAAAATGTGACAGGAGAGGAGCAAAGTGGAGCAAGACCAGGTGGGGAGATTCCTGGAAATATCCCAGTGATTTTTCCCAAGTCCCAGGGCTGGGACTGCTCAGGTGCAGGTTTGTTCTGGTTTCCCACATTCCATGGAGGACATTGGTCATCCAGAGGCTCCCTGATGGGATTTTTGCTCCTTAAGGTAATTAATGGCTGGAATTCTTGAATTCCCAACTGGGAATTTCACCATCCAACCAGAAATCATTGCTGTGGGAGCAGGAGAACCGTGGGCTGTTTCCATGAGCAGGATCTGCAGGAATAACCCTGGCAGGGTTTGGGGCTGGCACAGGAATGTCCAGAAGAAGGGAAGCAGCCACCGGGAAAATCCCAGCAATCTGATCCCAAAATAAATGTGGGATGAAGGAATCTGGAGAGGAGCCCCCAGGGAACACCGCATGGCATTGCTCTGCTCTTCACCCCCCTCTGGACTGACCTGACTGGATCCCACCTCTCCCAAATCCCTGAACCCCCAGGAACAGGCTCTAAGCCCCTCCAGAGCACTGGGATTGCAGACCCAGTTGGATTTTCCCAGTTAAACCCGTGGCTGGAATTCTGGGAAGCTGCTTTAATTTGGATAACCCAGAAGTGTCACTCCAACTGAAACTTTCACGGAAACAGCTTTAATTCCATTTTCCATCCCCCTTCTTGGCAAGGGTTTTCCCAAGCCCCCCAGAGCCTTTTTCCATCAGGATTCTCTAAATAAGGAATGGGAGCACTGCAGTTTGTCACCTTCCAGCCCATTCATGAATTCCCACCCAAACGCCAACCTCGGGGACACGAGGAGTGCCCAATTCCCATTCCCATGGCACAGCAGTGACAGGAATGTGGCAGCGCCCTGGGCTGCCTTGGCTGGACAGAGCTGAGCCACAGCTGCTCCTGGAGCAGGAAAAATCCACAAAGACCAAACTCCAAGAGCAGCCCCAGGCCAGGATTGGAAGCAGAAACTAGGAACAGTGGGAACATTAGCCACTTCCAACAGGGATTTCTGCAGCTGCAGCCATGGAAAACCATCCCCAAAGGGGCCTTGTCACCATCCAGCAGCAGCCTGAGGAGGAAGGAGCTGCTCCAGGGGCTGGGAAGAAGCATCCCTGTGAATTCCCTGTTTGTTGGCTGAGAACAGGATTCGGCTATTTAATTATGGATGAGAAAATAAGAGATAATGGATGGATTTACAAGCAGCACTTTGTCATGTGGGGCACCCATGAAAAATTCAGGAGCTCGGGAAGTGCTTTTTTCCCTGCACAGAATTCCCAGCCCTCCCCTCACAGCCAGGCTGGAAAATGCTCTGCCAGGACCTGGAAACAACATTCCTAAGAGACTCCCAGTTTGTAGCTAAACTGCACATTAAATATTCCAAATTTGTGCCTGGTTCCCTGTGGGCAAGAACTCCCACATGGGGATGGGAATGGGGCCTGAGAGGAGGGAATTGTGTGCAGGGATCCAGAGGGGAAGGGGATAGGGATCAAACACAGGGAAAGGGACAGGGATCAGACACTGGGAAAGGGACAGGGATCAGACACTGGGAAAGGGACAGGGATCAGACACTGGGAAGGGGATAAGGATCAGACAGATCCCAAAGGCTGGAGAAGCAGAGAGGCACAAAAGCAGGGACTGGAAAGAGGACAAGGATCCTTTCCCAAAGTCCCAGTCCTCCCCAGATCCTTTCCCAGTGTCCTAGTCCCCCCCAGCACCTGACATTCCAAACACAGGGTGGGGCTGTAGGAAGAGCATCCTGGGTTCCTCATCCCTCCCAGCTGGAAGGAGTTTTAAGATCCCTAAACAGGGATCAGCAGCACTTTGGAGCAGAGGAATCTGGCCTGGATCCCCAAAATGTGAGATCAGACCTATGAAAGGAGGGAATTAACTCCAATGGAAGAGCCTGGATCCTCAAAACGTAAGAAGATCATCCCTATCAAAAGGAGGGGGTGAATCCCAACAGAAAATCCCCAAAATGTGAGGAGATCATTTGCTTGGAAAGAGGGAATGAATCCTAAGGGAAGAGCCTGGATCCCCAGAACATGAGGAAAACAACCTTGTGGAAAAGGGGGAAATTAATCCCAAGGGAAGAGCCTGGATCCCCAGAACATGAGGAAAACAACCTTGTGGAAAAGGGGGAAATTAATCCCAAGGGAAGAGCCTGGATCCCCAAAACGTGGGGAGGTCAGCCCCTCTACAGTCAGGACAAGGATGGGTCCAGCCCCCCCGGGTGACAGTGACATTCCCAAATCCTGAGGCACATCCTGGCCAGAACAGTCATGTTTGAGCAGCAAGGCCGGGGTTCAGGGACACAAGTCCAGGAAAAGCCCCAAAGGCAGCAGGAGCAGCTGCTGGACACCACCTGGATGTGCCAGGGTCAGCCCTGTCCCCACCCTGCGGTGGCAGGCACGGAGCTGAGCACAGGAATTTGCC